CTGTAGTTGTGCGTGTGGGCACAGTTTTGCTACATCGTGGGAACCATTTTCCAGAAAAAGGCAGCCTTGTGGAACACATGCCCGGTCCCCATGGGTACGGATGCTAATTGTGGATGGGGTGTTAGGTTTAGGACCAAGGTGTGAATTGAGTTTAGGTTAGTTTTAGGCTCAGGTAGGTACCTGATACCTGTGAGGTTAATTTTAGGGTAAATGGTCAGGCTTAGGGTATAAAATTACCAAAAAAAAAAAATGCAAGTCAATTCGTGGTCCCCACGGGGATATAAAAACATACCTGTGTGTGTGTGTGTGTGTGTGGTGGGGGAGGGATATAATCTAGTTTGAAACTTACCTTCTGTTTCCATCTCCAGTGGCAAAAATAAAACGGGTCGGAGCTGCAGAGAAACTGATCACAGTGTGAGACTGGAGACACTGAAATGACAAAGTGAGACAGATTACTCTGCGGCAGATTTTTTTCACTTCACCGCTATTCCTTTTAAGATGATGCGTTGACTCAGCATTAATCTGGATGTCAGCCTGTTTGAACTCGACGCGTTGTCTCTCGGTTGAACTGTTGTAGAAATGCACCACTCTATAAACATTACCAGCAAGTTTGCATCACTGATGTCAATTGGCATATTTTATTGGTCAGGCTGCAGAAAGCATTGCCAAAACCTGCTTTGTACATTAATATCTTTTTAAATGATGTAAAATATTGCTTTTTTTTAATTCACCAAACTTTATTTTGGGAGAGTGTCTTACAAAAACTGCTACTGTTCCTCAAGAAATATTTTAACAGGTAACTTAGATGTTTGGTTCTCAGCAATATATGAGGAAGTCTTAATAATGTCTTTGCTTTTTTCCCCGTCATTTTACCAGATCTCCTGCCTGCAAGATTTTTTTGGAGATGATGATGTGTTCATTGCATGCGGTCCAGAGAAGCACCGTTATGCACAGGACGACTTTGTGTTGGATCACAGTGGTAAGGCTTCCACAGCCTTTATGACTGGTAGGCGTAACTAAACATCTGTTTGTGTGTGTTTGTATCGGTATTTGTGTTTTTGCCTTTAAGTCTTTTTCTTTTAACTGCTTTTTTAACTAACAGCAGGTTTGACTGGGTGTTTTTAATTTAAAGGCCCTTTTTCTATGAAGATACAAACCATTTCAACCATATCATTGCAAAATGAGCCTATGATCGGAAGGTCGCTGGTTCGAATCCCCTGACTGACAAGAAAAGCGTGGGTGGGAAAGTTGAAGCACCCACACCTGCTTCCACACTTATTTGCCCCACTCTGGGCCCTTGAGCAAGGCCCATAATCTTCCCCAGCTGCTACTCAACACAGAGGTCTGTGGTAGCTCGGTGGTCTGTGGCTGCATCAGGAAGGACATCCGGCATAAAAACAATTGCCAAGTCTTTGTACGTGTTTGCTCATTATGGCGACCCCCAAGAAGGGAGCAGCGAAAAAAAAGAATTTTAAAACTATATGGCTTCTAAATAATGTTTCTTTTTAAGCATTTATAGGAGACATTAGTCCAACTCATTTTCTACACATGTATTCTTACTGGGTAGTCTGAAAAAGCGTTTGCATTCTTGTTTTTAAAGTTAGATTTTTCTGTTTGTGTTTACACATAAATGTGTTACTGTAGGTTTTGTTTTAATTCCATTAGTGTGCAGAGAGAAAACACAGGCAGGATGTGACCTGTTTAACCCGGTGATCCATTTACAGAAGGTGGGACCACCTCAGGGGAAGGAAAAGGAAAAGGGAGTTTATTATAGTTTGTGTCTGAAGTAGTGACATCCTGGTTGATTTTTCTGTTTGGTCAGGTCAGCCATCAACAGGGAGACATATTTTAACATGCTGTGTAGCTGAGGATGAGTACTGTCAGATGGTTTGCAGCTTTCGCCCCATTTAAACTCCTGTGCTCCACTTAGGAGAATTAGGTCTTTGAAGGAACAAAAAAAAGCACATTGTGCTATATTTTTAAAATGGAGAAGCAGCTTAAAAAACAGTCCCAGGTCAAACTTTGCTGTTAAAAAACTGATGTGATACTTCGTTTTTTTGAAGTTATCACTGATAAGCTCTCACTCTTTTACGACCCGGCTCATTGGGCTGCTACATAAAATGAGGGCTGAACCATGTGTTCGGAGTTAAACATGCTCATCATGAAAAAAAACAGCTGGCCAAGTTAAAAATCCTCAGCAGCCCCTGTGGTGATCTGCTCAAGCCTCTACAGGTTTGAGTTTAAGTCACAACCTCACAGGTGCAGCCAAGTCGGATAGTCGAGCAGAGCAGACTTTGTTGCAACACTACAGCTTGCTCCCTGAAGTTTCAGAGGAGTATCACAGGCTATTAACAACTAATATCTTACCTGTTGCGGATAGTTCTTAAGTGTAATCGTTACACACAATAATACAGTAAACTAACCAGTATACAGCTTTTCTTCTCAGACCATGAAAAGCTCCAAAATAAAGAGTGCAAAAAAACACATACTATGAACTACAACTAGCTTTTGTCCTAACACTGTGGTTATTAAACTAAAAACATACTGATAAATAATCATCAGCAGATCTATTTGTTATTTGAAAAGCACCTAACAGAGTGACTCTGAGTGTTGTGTGTTTCTTCAGAATGCAGCGTGATAAAGTCGTCATACAGTCGATCTGTGACTCCGAACCGAACAGCGCAGTCCAGGGCTCAGTCCAGGAGTCCTGGACCCCCACGACGCAGTAAGTCCTCAGGTGCAGGTAAGAGACGCAACGTGTTTACACACTTTAAAGAAAACCAACTCGCTGCTTCTGATTAGCATGAAAAAATTAATAAATAAAAACTACCACTCAGATGTCAACTGCTTTAAAGAAACAATTAATATTTATAAAATGTATTTATTGTACATTCCGATATCTATATATTTGAACACTTCTTGAAACCTTTCTTGTTGAGTCTAATGCTGAGTTTTAGTCGGTAATTTTATTCTAATTGCTCAACCACCCAGTTTGTGTGCTGTAATAATAATAATAATAATTATTATTATTATTATTATAATTATAATCCATTTTTCTGCACACATAATATTATTTAAGAATGGCTGTAGCTTCCTGTCTTCTGGATGTTTCAACTAGTTTAAACGTATATTTTAATGCATGTATGTTTTTGTTTGTTTTGTACTTTTTTTTTCAGCGAGACGACCTGTTCACCTCTCTAGTCACACTCCAATCAGATCTCCTGGTAAGGTGCAAGAATGAACTTGTTTTGGGTTTTATTTATTTATTTTCTTTTTTACTTTTAGATCATCCAAAAAATCCAGCTGGACCAGGCTTTAATCAAAAGAAAATCAGGGGGACAAAAAATAAATAAATAAAAAACATTTAATTTGACATTTGTTATTTTTTTTTCTTCATATGTCCTTCTTTAAACAGTAAATGGTATTTCAGCTACCAGGTCCACCAAGTCCTCCACACCATCTCCTACCAGTCCACCAAACTTTCTCAGTTTGAAGGTAAAACAATGTTTCATATGTATTATTTATTATATTTATCACATACAGCAGCTGTTCAGAATGAACCTATTTATTGTTTTGATAAAGCTTTAGAACTGGCACTTGGTCTGTAATATTTGTTCTTGAGTTTTCTTTATTTTTCTAATTGGGTCTAAACAAAGATTTTTGTTGAAATGCTTTGAAAGTAAAAATAAATTCAGTGACATTTGATTACTTTCTCCATGTGTTCAATAAACTGACATGATGTTTTTAGGACAGTTGTACCTGCATGTTTTATATTTAACCCGTTTGCTGACCTTAGGTCAAAATGACCCATGTGGCTTCAGTTTTAAAACTGAGCACTTAGGGGTCCTTTAGATCAATGGGCAGCAGGAGGGTTAGGTGTTGTAAGGTCTTGCTGTAAAACAAAACTTCTCCATGTCCTACTTAACAAAATCTGTGTCAGCTGAAGTTTTTAAGGCGCTGAAAGTTGTGACCTACTCTGTCGTAGCTTCATCGTGTATTTTTAGCAGAGTTTGAGAAACTAATCTGATTTATTGATGAAGTCCTCTGTAAGCTGTGTGTTTTACATGATCCAACCAGCTGGCACATGTACCTCAGAGACGTTCCTCAATCAGCTTTGTCAAAGACTGATCCATCCACAAGAAGGTGGCAGGATGCCCAAGTGTGTTTTTTTTTATGATTTACTAAATCATCTGAGGAATTACATGAGTGTTAGCAACATACTGCTGTTAAGAACCTGGTCGTTCTTACCCGGGTCAATTGGGATTTTGGAGGAAACAGGAGGAGACACCTTAAAGAGTTAACAGAATTTATTAAAGATTACATGTAAAAACCCACCGAACAGATTTGCAAATCTGGGAGAGTGCTGGACCGATACTTCCCTTCGATCGTCAAGCAGCATCTCATCACATCACTGTAATTCTAAGCTTTTATAATCAAGTCCACTTATGTAATTTCTGAGAATCATATATTATCACAAGCTGCAGCCGGTCATGTTGTCCTCCGGCTTTTTCATTGGTTCCATCCAACCTGCTTATTTGCACAGCCTTGAAATGTTAAGGAACCTGGACTTCGACCCTGTTCTTTAAACATGATTCAGGTCAGAGTGGCCCACACATTAAAAGTTACACAGTTTATTACCCAGATCAATTATATCAAATTTACTTATTTTATTAACATTAAACCCATAATGAACTGATTATTACCAGACCACAAAAATATAATTAAAAGAGTTCCACATTCCTACAATCCCTCTCTTGATCTCTGCTAACACAGAGATCAATACCATGTGTCCTCATTATGTCCTTCATTATAGGGAGACATGTGTTTTTCACCTCCAGATTTCCAAACGGTCTCATATTGAGACTGTTTCTATTTTAGGCCTGATTCGTTTCTATTTATTTAAAATAATACTTCACTTTTGTAGTTTTGACTATTTCTTTTAAAACTTTATATTATTATTATTTCTTTAACCTTTAGAGTTTTTAGATTTATGTTATTATTGATTTAAATTAACATTATGTTTAACTCTTTAACCTTTAAAGTTTTAGCTTTATTTTATTATTGATTTAAAATAATGTTATGTTTAACTCTTTAACATTTAAAGTTTTAGCTTTATTTAAATTATTGATTTAAAATAATGTTATGTTTAACTCTTTATCCTTTTAAAGTTTTAGCTTTATTTAAATTTACTTTATTTCTAGTTAAACCCTTAACAACAATTCTTATTGTTTGGTGGG